GACTGCTTCTCGGGGACTTAGCCCCCAACTTTGAGGCCAATACCACCATCGGCCGCATCCGCTTCCACGATTTCCTGGGAGACTCGTAAGTGGCGATCGCGTCGCCCTGCCAGATGGAGGGTCCCCAGAACTGCCCTCCCCGCTTCTGTTTTCCGCCCTGCGCTCGGCCCCGGCGCTCCGCTAGCTTAGCCCCTCACCGGTTCCCGCACGTGCCCGCTGCCGGAGTCCCGCCGAGCATCACCGGGCGTTGCTGGGGACCTACGACCTCTGGCCCGTCCTGCTCTGATCACTGGATCCTTCCCTGACCCAACGTGGCTGGACTGCATGGGGGAGGGGGGGTCCTTGCCACGGACGATTTGTTGTCCATTTAACCCGGCTCTGTAAACAATGCTCACTGATAACGCGGTCGGACATAAAACCCAGGAGAGAGGTGGGGCAGGGGTGTGCGGTGTTGGAGGTCACTTCCCGGGACGCTTGCCCAGGGGTGGCACTGCCCGCCCTCTCGCCGCTTTAGAATTTGCACCCGGCGGAAGGTGGGTGCCGAAGGCCATAGTTAAGAGTACACAGCCACAAATTAGGGTATGATGCGCTCTGCGTTATCTGAAGTCCTGCTTGACTTCGGGGAATGGTAGTTTCGGACTTCTGAAAATTTTAAAAACTACCATGTGCCAGTAAGTAGCTAGAAGACTTTTTTGTCCAGAGCCTACGTCAGTGGTCAAAATAAGATTTTGTGTAGCAGCTTTGGGAGAAACCAGGAACACTTTGTGTGGGTATGGCCGTCATTCCAGAATAAGCAACAGTTTGAGGGAGGGGGCTTGTTCCGCGCCTGCGACCATTTTGCCACCATAGGCCATTCCAAGGCTAGGACACGTGTACCTCCCACTTTGAGACTCTTTTGTTTCCCAGTGGTCCCCTCCTCCCTCCCTGTCTGTCTTGCATCCAGCTTCTGGCCTTGCTACTGATAGCCTCTGTGGTGGCCATTAATGGCGAGGAGTACACCAGTGTTGCCTTATCTTTACAGCTCCTGAATGCACAAATTGCAAGATGCTTACTTTCAGTCCGCATTTTGCATACATGTCAGGTTACATTGTGGTTCTGGAGTCTCAGTGCCCTACTACATTGTATGAAGAGGGCGTTGGTGGCGCATGCCTTTAATCCCATCACTTTTTAGACTAAGTAACTAGTAAATGCAGGTATACTTGGGAATGTAGACAAGGACTACAACAAACAAGATTCAGGCCTCTTAGGAAGTGGCTCATTGCTTTAAAATGTCACCCACCACTGGAGTGAAGTCACAACCTCTATATCCTTTGCTAGAGCCCTGGGAGCAATCTGCTGCCTAGAGAAGGCTGGCCAGGTCACACCCACCTGAGTGTTCTTTTTCTCTGTTCTGGTGGGAATTATAAATAGGCAAGAAATAACTCCTTTAACATCCGGAGTCAAGGCCGGGCGTTGGTGGTGCACGCCTTTAATCCCAGCACTCGGGAGGCAGAGGCAGGCGGATCTCTGAGTTCAAGACCAGCCTGGTCTCCAGAGCGAGTGCCAGCATAGGCTCCAAAGCTACACAGAGAAACCCTGTCTCGAAAAACCAAAATACATTGTATGAAGAAACTCTTGGGTTTGTGTCCTTTTTATATCCAGTACCCAAGTGTATATAAGTGGGAAGACAGCAGTTGATGAAACTCATCTTTGATCAGGTCAGAAAGCCTGGCTTTTCAAAGAAAAAGGAAGACTAGAAAAAGTAGCCAATGGAACTCTCAGGCTCTGCAGGAGAAGACTAGAGATAAGCATGACTGCCCGTCTCATACTCAGAACCCAGGTGTTAATATTTATCCAAGACTGCAGAGGATTTACACAGTATACCTTCCCATTCCTGCCTGCAGCCCCCTCCCCCATCAAGTGTGAGATGTCGCTGTAACTCTTCATCTGTATGGGTTACAGACAAATAGGAATCGAAAGCACACATACTATGAAGATAACCACGAGGGGGGGGGCGTGTCTTTGTGATTGTCTGTTGATCTAGATCTATCTAGATTTAAAATATTGTTTCCCAGCTGCACCCAGATGTGTAGGCCTGGTATTCCAGCCACTCAGGAGACAGAGGCAGGAAGATCCTAAATTCAAGACCAACCTGGGCAGCTCATTGAGGCCCTGTCTCTAAATAAAAGTGTAAACCTTTAATCCGAGCACTCAGGAGACGGGCAGGTGGATCTCTAAGTTTCCAGGCTAGCTTGGTCTACAAAGAGAGTTCCAGGATTGTTACACAGAAGAACTCAATCTCAAACAAAAAAACAAAACAAAACAAAACAAAAAACAAACAGTAAATGAAACACCATCCTCTTAAGAAGATGAGGTAAGCTTATAAGGAAGCCTAAAAGTGGGCTTAGAGTGAAGCATGATACTCCTGTCATCCCCAAAAAAGACTTTTCCATTCTGTCATTACAATACATGGAATTTGCTTATTTTTCTAAACTCCATTCTGTAGATAATCTCCTTTGGAGAAAAAAAAATTCCAACTTTAAACATTACAGGTGTCTGCTCTACCTCTGGCAATTAGAAACAAGGATTTGGGTGCAGTGTGGGTTTGCTTAGCTTTGTATGGCCTCTGGATGTGGAAGAGTATCTCTGTAGTGTGTCTCAGGCTTCCTCGATAATCAAAACACCTGTGCCAGAGGTTTTCTGATAGAAGCAGAGACCATTCTCTTAGGAGGAGGAAACCTTTAGTCCTTTGAAAATGAGGATGAAATGGGATGGTGTAATTGAATTTCTCCAAAGAGTAGGGCAGGTAGGCCAGGGCGAGACATTCTTGGAATACCCTGAGATACACTGGAGTTTGTGAAGTGGCATAAAACCAGTACCCCAACATGACTCAGCAAAATACATTTGCCTCACACTTTAAAAAAAAAGACTTCTAATTCATCACTCCTAAATAATACATAAAGAAATACTCTGTTCCTTTGTTTTTTTTTTTTTCTGCATCTTCTAGAGCCTTTCTCTAAGTTTTATGTGAACCTTACATCAGTTCTTTTCCAAGAATCCAAAACCTAAACATCATAGCTAGATTAAATAGTGAAATCTTACTTCCCCATACTAAGAACTAAACACCACATACCTCCACACTCTTCCAAGTATTACCTAGCTCATTCTTAGGGCCTTCCAGCCTTTTAAGAAGAAGGCCTTGCCTTACCCTGGGAACTGAGTGTTAGGTGTCTGTGGAAGGCAGTAGCTCTGTCTGCCTTGTTCTTCGTGCTTAGGGAAGGTTGCTAAACCCTCAGCATTTTGGCCAGATTGTGTAATCTGCTGGCTTGAGACCTTGGCCCCTGGATGGCTCAAGCAATGGGAGTGTACAGAGCCAAACGCTGAGTTTTCCTTGTCGCTTGAAAGAATGTTTTCAGTTGCCAAGAAGAAGGAAATATTACTCCCAAGTTTCCTGGGTGCTTAAGTCATCCTCAAAATCTGTACAACTTTAACCTTAGACATTGATTTGATTGTAATCTTTACCTAAGAATTGTAGGTGTGGAAATCTGCATTGTGGGGTATCTGTGTATTTTCTACCTGCTTGCTCTAAAGTAGGAAACTGCAACTGTTAAAGAAGTATTATCTTGGATGGTACAAATGTGGACACCTTGTTTAACAGGTTAGATCAGTCAAGTGGCTTCATTAAAGATTTTATGTCTAGCTGCTTCCAGAAAGCCAAGTACCAACCTAAATTTTACCTACAAATCGAGGACAGAGCCCTATCTGTTCTGAGTTACATAATTGTTTATTATTGTACCCAGACATCTGTTTGGATTTGGGGCATAGTAGGCACTGAATGTCAAAGTTTGTGCTAGAAAACAAACAAAGGGCCTAAGAACTATTTCAATGGGGTACTTGGCTTAAATAGCACACATTTTATTGACTGAAAAGGAGTCATGGTAACAACTCCTTTGTCAAGAAAGGAGTGGTGGCCGGGTATGGTGTGGTGGCACATGCACTCGGAAGGCATAGTCGGGCCCACTCTCTGAATTCAAGGCCAGCCTGGCCTACAGTTCAAGGACACAGAAGCCCTGTCTCAAAAAACTTAAAAAGTAAAAATGAAACATCTTAAAATGAGTCCTTTTGAGCCATTTATCTTGATTTTTATATATTTAATATGTAAAATTGTATATATGGGTAGACACTTGCGATCAACTTGGGCTTCTTTGGAGGCAAGGTTCAATCTAAAAGGTTCGAATGTCTTCATTAAGCAGATGTTTGAAGAAAGCAATCCTGTTTTAAATGCAGATACTGAGTGTTTTCATTCTGCATGATGATGGTTACTGTCCATTCAGTTGTGTCCTTCTTCTTCATTCCAGATGGGGCATTCTCTTTTCCCACCCACGGGACTTTACCCCAGTGTGCACCACAGAGCTTGGCAGAGCGGCAAAGCTGGCGCCAGAGTTTGCCAAGAGGAATGTAAAGTTGATTGCTCTTTCTATAGACAGTGTTGAGGACCATCTTGCCTGGAGCAAGGTATAGTTCTATCTGTGATTTGAGGTATATATAGTCCTCCTTTCCTGTCGCCTTCCACACAGCTCCTAAAAGCCTTAATACTTTCCAAAAGGTAGTGTCTTTTTATGTGCTAATGAGTTGACTGGTGGCCACAGCCCCCTCCACAGGTCTGAACAGAACCAGGCAGGAATAGGGGTTGAGACTTTAATCCTCACCTAATCTCTGGGGAGAAATACCTGTACACTTCTTGGTGACCAGCAATGTCATGGAAATCTTTGTGTTCCTTAGTAAGAGAATAGACACTTTGCTTTCTCCCCTTCCGTATCAGAAGTATCGATTGGCGTGTGCTTTGATTTTGAGGTTACTATATCTTAGTTACATAGAGCGTAACCTGGTTTCTGAGAAAAAAGTGCACATAAACCTAGGGTTCAGAGTTCACACTGCTTAAGTGAAAGCCAGACTGCAACTTCATAGTGATCTTTGTGTTGCCATAGTGATCTCTTATGTCCAATGACGGATTCTCAGTCACCCTCTTCCCTGGTTTACTGATAGCATTCAGCTCACCTGATCTCTCGAAACACCCTACATCGGTTGTCCTGGCAGTCAGGATGGCGTCTCCAGATGTCCATGCTTAGAATTATTTGTCATCATCTCAGAGTTCCTGATTTGTGTTTAAGTTGGCCCGGGGTTTACTTCATGGACCACTTCTCTTTTCTATCTGTACTTTCTCTCTTGGTGAGCTCTTACACTCACGTCTTCAGATAGCATTCATGAATTGCTTCTCAGAGTCTCGTCTCCTGGCCTCCAGGTCAGTAAAACCAGCCTCTTCGGCATCTCCTTTGGATGTCTAGATACTCTGATCTTAATATATATATATATTTGGACCCCATTATTTATTCCAAGATAGTTTTCATCTCCACTAATAGCAGCTATATTTTTGGTGTTGCTAAGTTGAAACTTCAGAGCCATCCTTAACTCCTTGTGTTTTCACACCCCCTGACTGGTCTATTCACACACTCATGGGCACCCCGTACTAAATACAGCTGTCTGCACTGCCTATACTGCTTTGGTGTTTCGTCTCAAGTGCACCTCATCAAAACCCCTTTTTGTCCTTACCTAAAATTATGACGAATGATGACACTCACTGTCTAAGTCTCTGCATGTTGCTTATCTAGTCACTGGTTTTTCCCACTGTGAGCATAGGACCCAGCCAGGGTAGGCTCCAGTTCACTGCTACAAAAGTACTCGGTAAAGGGGACAGTCAGTGCTCGTTGAATGGAAGTACTGAAATTGTCTGCTTTGGACAGAAGTATTTTCACGTATTTGGACAGGATGTTTCAATCAACTTTGCTATAGTATACAGTGAAATACCTAGTGTGTGTGTGTGTGTGTGTGTGTGTGTGTGTACTAGGCATTGCCAATCACATGCAACTGAATAAAAGATGACATTTAGGTATGTGCACTGGGCTACATCCCATGGCCATTTCACACCAACTAATCCCCAATGTCTGGGATCAAAAGAGTGATGGGTAGGAAGAATAAGGAGGTTGCCATCTTCCCTGAGGTAGATTTTTTTTTTCCTCATTCTGCACACTTTGGCAATGAATGGTAACTGGCATTTCCACAGCAAAGCCCTTTACCATAAGCTGTTTCAATCAACTTTGCTATAGTATACGGTGAAATACCTACCGTGTGTGTGTGTGTGTGTGTGTGTGTGTGTGTGTGTGTGTGTGTGTGTGTAATTTTGTAAATGAGTATTGGAATGACCTCCTCAAGCTCACCCAGCTGAAAAGGAGGGTGCCAGCATGATCTGAACCTCAACCAATGTTCTTGGTGCTAGCTGGTAAAGAGTCAAATTGTCCTGATTTAGGATAAAACAAAGACCAAATAATGTGGTTCTTTGTTGCCTGTGAGTGTATGTGCTGTCAATTAAACAAGTGACAAGGTCAAGAATTAATGAATATCAATATTAAATCACAGATTACCAAAAGAGGAGTTCAGAGGTCATCATCACACAACACCTCTAATATACAGGAATATACCCAGGTTCATTTATTCTACCTTAGAAGTTTCCAGAAATGTGATTGTCTGGAACAGAAAATAAATCTAAGCTTCCGAAAGCAGTGCCAGCTTCGACATGTAACAGATTACACAAGAAAGCCCTAGATGTGCTGGCAGGAAACCATACTTGTTATTATTTAGCTAGTGACTAAATAGGCAGTCAGTGACCAACAGCCACAGGCAACTTCAGATAATAAAATTAATTAATATGTTCAAATCTGTTGCTATCCTTTTCAGAGTTTTAATGTTACTTTTATCTCCTCTTATCTCTGAAGAAATGCAAAAGTTTCCGATCTGCCCCAGGGCTTCACATGAATAATAAACACCTTTTTCTAATTTTAAACCCCTTTTCCTGTCACTTCCTAAAATCTAATTAACTTCCTCACTTTCCTATGGTGGTTTATGTATAGACTTAACTACATTGTCTCCTTAATATTGCTCTCCCCAAAATGCCTTGCTTTTCCCAGTGAAAAACTACCTGTCTTTCAAAGCCCAGGTATGTTCCACCCTTTCTTTGAGCCTTCTCTCACCTCCTGTGTTCTATGAATTCAGTGTGGTAAGGGCTTTGGCCTGTGTATATTCTGCTAATATTCCTGTCCAGTGAATAATGACAATGAAAAGTATCTGTTCGTGCATCTTGCTAAAATTCCTTAGATAGCATTGTTTTGTTGGTTCCCCAGCCTGGGAAGTGATGATTCTTCGCTGATGAAATGCAGAGAATGGTCAGGTTTAAAATTCTCTTTCCCCTTTCTCCTCCATTCCAGGACATCAATGCTTACAATGGTGATGAGCCTACAAATAAGTTGCCATTTCCGATCATCGATGACAAGAACAGGGACCTTGCCATCCTTCTGGGCATGTTGGATCCAGCAGAGAAGGATGATAAGGGCATGCCTGTGACGGCCCGTGTGGTGAGTCCTAGCAACCCCATGTAAATGTTGGGCCAACTCAAGGAAATAGATGAGGAATGTCTGTACCATTATGAAACATCTGTGTGTCGGAGACTATCCTCTGTTATCTGTATGCTGGTACAGAATGGCTGAACTAGTCAGCTAAAATTTGTTTAATTCGTAGCTGTTGAATATATCCACACATAAATAAGCAGTTCATCTAAAACTATTCTCTAGAGTTAAAAACACTTATCTGTTTTACCTCCTGCCAGCCGTCTTTAAAGCATTTCTGACAGGACAGTCCTGAACTTTCTTGTTTGTCATTTGCATTTTGAACACTTGCAGAGAGTTCTGAGGACTTTGGAACAGGGACCTTTAAAATAATGAACTCCAATGAATTAAAATTTCTCCAGGAATCCCAGGCTAGAAGGGTAGGACAAAGGCACCCACACCAAAATAGGAACTTTCTTCTTCACAGGAAGACATTCCCACAGCTCTGACAACTGAGTAAAAGGACATGTGTGTGTTCCTGGCTTCTACATCATCTTTTCTATAACAGTGTTACACTGGGTCAAGCAAGATAGCTTAGGCAGCTAAGGGTGCCAAACCTGAGGTTCTGATTGGTCTCCTGGAACCAATGTGGTGCTGGAGAGAACCAACTCCTGCAAGCCGACCTCTGACCTCTACTATTACACTGGCATGTGTGTACACCCACACCCTCACACACAAAAAAATGACTAAAATTATTTTTAAATTATAAAACTGTTAGAGCAATGGTACTCAACCTGTGCGTCGTGACCCCACTGGGGAGTCAAGCGACCCTCTCATAGTGGTTGCATGTCAGATATTTATATTATGATTCATAAGGTAGTAAATTTACAGCAATATAATTAACAACTGAATAATACTAAAGCACTACCCATTCATCTGTGTTTTACAGGTGTTCATTTTTGACCCTGACAAGAAACTGAAGCTGTCTATCCTTTACCCGGCCACCACTGGCAGGAACTTTGATGAGATTCTCAGAGTAATTAAGTCTCTCCAGCTGACAGCAACAAAAAAAGTTGCTACCCCAGTTGACTGGAAGGTAAAGCTGTTCAAGAACCAGGTGCCCGGCTTGACCGAAGGGTTGGAGGGACAGTCGCTAATGGCCTCCTTCAGGATCTGGGTTTCTAGGTGTTTGTATTATCCCAGTGATCCTTGCACTGCTGAGGCAGGGACTAAAGGATCACAAGTTCAAGTTCAGCCTATGCTAGTAGCAAGGTCCCGTCTCAAAAGTCAGGAAGGAACAAAAGCTTAATTGGCTGATTGTCATCTGTCATGGTGGTTGCCCAACTGTTGTACTGATGTTATACCATTTTTTTTTTCTCTTAAGCTCCAACCTTTTAAACATATATAGTCTTGGAAACATTATATAGAGAGAGCATGTGCTCAGAAAGTGTGTGTGTGTGTGTGTGTGTGTGTGTGTGTGTGTGTGTGTGTGTGTGTGTGTGTTTGAGCATTTAGAGCTCACCATGTTGCCAAGAATGACCTTGAGTTTCTTGTCCTCTTCCACTTCTCAAGTCCTGGCCTTGGATTTTTTTTTTTTTTTTTTTTTTTTTTTTTTTTTTTTTTTTTTGGTTTTTCGAGACAGGGTTTCTCTGTATTGTTTTCCATGGAGCCTATCCTGGAACTAGCTCTGTAGACCAGGCTGGGCTTGAACTCACAGAGATCCGCCTGTCTCTGCCTCTCAAGTGCTGGGATTAAAAACGTACATCACCAACGCCCGGCTTAATCTCCTGCCTCAGGCAGGTTTCCATGTACTGAGATTACAGGCATGCACCACTACACCCAAATTGTTCATAAACTTTTAATACCTTAAATAAATGGGACTAGACTTTTCTGGCAGGTAAAGTCATCTGCATTTTCAGGAAGTAAGGTGGAGGGATGGGAGGTGAGAAGGAGTCTAGTCTGAAACAATCCTGCAAACCGAGGGGTAGGTTTAGAATTCAATTTTAAGGAAAACTATCAGCTCAGATCCCCAAAACCAAGTTCTCGGCACAAAGGAGATTTATTTGCCCCAGATGGACAGAGGGCAGGGAATAAGAGACAGGAGATAGAGGATAAGGGGGAAGGGATATTTGTGGAACAGAGTGTGGGGACAAAGGTCTGCCTCTGGATAGAGATGAGACAGACATGGCCCATAGGAAAAATGATAGTTTATATAGGTAAACCCCATGTCAGGATGAGGTGTTTAATTTTAATTGGGCATGTTAAGGCAGCCTGAGGCGGCTTTTGATTGCTGGACGTCAATACTTTGATAGTTGGACTTTGGTGGTCAGCCTCAGGAGGAGGAAGTGGCCAAATAAAGGAATAGTGTCTAGCTTTAGGAATATAACCTAACATTTTTTTAGCAAAGCAGAGGGAAGGGGAGAAGGGTAAGGCCTGACAGAACCATGTTTGTCATGCTCCAGCTGGCTAGAGTCCCTTCTGTGGCCAGCTGTGATGGGATTTTAAAACACTGTTCCTACTTCAGATGGACAAATACTTTCCTAACAAACATGTCAGCAATCAATTTGCAAAACAAAGTAAGTTCCTCAAAGAGGAGAGTAAAGAATACCAGCTTCCTCCCATTGCCACCTTCATTCACCACTCTGTAGTTAATTCTTAAAGACCTTTACTCTTGCTGTAAGATTGAATTGCACCTTCTCCCAACAGGAGGGTGATAGCGTCATGGTCCTTCCCACCATCCCTGAAGAGGAAGCCAAACAACTTTTCCCTAAAGGAGTCTTCACCAAAGATCTCCCGTCTGGCAAGAGATACCTCCGATATACCCCACAGCCTTAAGTCTTTGTAGGAGTTGGGGCTGCAGCTGCTCGCTGCAATGGACCTGAGGATGCCAGCTGACAGTCATGTGTCCTTACACAGTTCCATAGAAATATCCTAGTGTGGTCACAGCCAAAATCGTTAGGTCACTATACCTCTGGCTCATTAAATGGAAATGGCACCAAAACTTTCTTGGGATTCTTTACTCTGTGCCTTCTTCAACAGCATTCTGTCCCTGCATTCATCTCAGGGCTCTGCTGACCGGCTTTCTCTGAAATACAGTCTGTATTGGAGAATCAGATCTTGTTAGGTCCCTGCAGGCTAGAGTGTCAGGTGGTGGTAGGGGAAGCTCACTTGGCTCCGTGGTAGAATGGTTTTCACATTTTGTAGCTTTCCTAATTGAATTTTCTGTTACCCATTTTGAAGAATATTAAAACGGGGGTGAAAATTTTCAATTCTGCATTTTTAGTAGATAACAAACTTGGGAACAGCACAGGGAAAGTTCTAACTATTTTGCTATAAGAAATCTGTGGTGAGTTTCTATCAACTGGAGGCTCAGAAGAGGCTTCCTTTGCCCTGCCAAGAAGGGGGGAGGTGCACCCAAGGGTGTGAGCAAGATGGCGCTTGTCCCTCCTAGTGTTTCCTGTCAGTCTGCTCTGATGATACCTGCATGTGAACACCATGTAATACCATGTGATACCATGTAAAGACAGGTGGTGACAACATTTTGTCACTAAACTGTCCTAGTAGTAGGTTGCCATTTTCTGAATTCTGCTTTTTTGAGGTTCAACAAATAAAATCCTTTGTTGAAACTGCATCAGAAAATTGTGTTGTCACATTTTGAAGTACTAGCTTAGACGACTCACCCTAAGGGACAGAAGCAGGCTTCCTTCTTGCTATGATTGGCACCGGTATTTTTCTCCAAAGACAGATAAATAAAACTTCACATGAAGCAGGAGCCGCTGAAGGATAGGATCCCCACTCCTGTACTGCTTCCTGTTTCCTAGAGTCTTGTGAGTAGGTATGGAGATTACAGCCTTAGTACACAGAGACGTAAGAGTTTCGAGGGGCTGGGGAGATGGTTCAATTCCCAGCAACGACATGGTGACTCAACCACCTCTATGGGATCTGATGCCTTCTTCTGGCATAAAGGCATACATGCAGATAGGGCATTCATACATAAAATAAGTAAACCTTTTTAAAAATTTTTTTTAATTAAAAGAGCTTTGTGGTATATTTTATTTTTTTCTACTCCAAACTGAATTGTTTTAGGGTTACACAATGCTACTAGATCAGTGTAGAAAGGTATTTGTGGGTCTTTGGTCTTCGTTGTTGTAAAAGATGCCATGGCTTGAGTGATGGGTGTTTATTTCTAGTTGTCAAGCTGGGCAATGATGGATCCTGGTTCTGATGAGAGGCCACTTCCTGTGTTGTGGACATGACCAAGACAGAGATCATCTCCTGACGTACTTGGCCTCTGTCTTCTGTCATTTCCCTACCTGTCAGACCCCTCACTGACGTCTCTCTTCTCCCCTAAACATTTATTTATGTCCTTGCTTGCCATGGGAAGTCTGGCTTCAATTTCCTGTTGGGGTTTTTGCTTTTTGTGTGTCATACTATCTTGCTTTGCGGCCCAGGTTGGATTTGAAATCAGTCCTGCTGTTGCAGCTTCCCAGATGCTAGGATATGCCCACCACCACGCCCTGAAGTACCAGTTTTTATGACAAGTTCAAAATTTACATTGCTGTTGTTGGTTACTCAAACCTTGAGTCTTGTGTTTATTGACCAATGGGATGTTTACCGCTGAATGAGCAAATTCAAAGCCAAATTCATTTACCTTTTCCCTCATCCCTATCAACTTGTTACCACTCCTCACTCAGGCTCTAAATCTTGTTTTTTTTTTTTTTTTTGGTTTTTTTTTTTTTTTTTTGGCTATTTTACCCACATTAATGATGTCAGTATAAAAAAATGCTTTTTAAAAGTGAATTCCGGTACTCTTTCCCCAAAGAGTTCTGAGTCTGAGGCTTGGTACAAGTATCCTTTACCAAATACATAATACTCAATGTTGCATTTCCAGGGCAGGGGTGATCCTGAACACATTGTTAAATACATCGTTGGGCAGGGAGGGTAAAATCATTTTGGCATGATTTTTTTTAGAATGAATTTCATTATCCATGTAAAGATTTGTTTCTTATAACTGAATAATGGCAATAGGGAATCTCCTATTTTGTTTGTTTGACTTGAACTGGGAACTGTGTAGTCCGTACCCCCAACTGCCAGGATTAAAGATGTTTGCTAATGCCCCCCAGCCCAAGAAATGAAGAATGAGGAAAAATGCTTTAGTTAGAGTAGATAGCCTTCTGTGATGAACACAGTTCAGCACCCCACCCATAAAATGGTACCACCCCCAGCAGGCTGGTGATCTTCCTACATTAACAGTCCAGACAAACCCCACTACAAACATGCCCATAGGCCCAGTTGATCTAGCTAATTCCTTAGCTAAGCCTCCTCGGATAAATTCTACATGTGGCAAACAGACTTAAAACTAAGCTGCCTTCCATCTACAATAAAGGCTCCTCACAGGTGTTTCTCTGAGAGGCCAAGGGTGAGGGAATGGGACACTAGAAGGGACTTGGCCCGTGACACTCTTGAGTGGCAGCACCTGTCCACTCCATCCACTTCCAGACTTGTCACAAGGAAAAAATGGCCCACTATGGTCAAGTGCAGACAGGTTTCTGTAGTGTGCAGTCACACCTGGCATTTCCTGAGTGAAAGCCACTCAAAACCTGCCCTGAGAAGGTTTGAAAGCTCAACTTTTTCTCCCAAACTTTTTTTTTTTTTCTATTCTTACCTCTATTATTATTTTCACCAAAACTATTATATCCTCAGTCTGGTTGAGATGATAAGGAATAATGGATTCTAAAGAGTTATTCATTGGCCGTTCAACTTTATTTGACTTTTAAAAATAAAGTGGAAAATTACATCAAATGGGATTATGAAATGTAAGAGTGTTGATTTCTCCTAAACTTTGTTTTCAGTAGCCAAGGTTGTGGGACATTTTCCCACTTTCCAGCACATACTAAATTAGAGAAGGAAGGTTACAAAGTGTCAGAGAGGCATTAATTATGGCGGGCTCACAAGTATTGTGCTTCAGACTACCACATTTGTTGCACGTCTCATTTGCCAACTTACTGTTACCGATTATGCTAAGTAAGCCGGGGGGAAGGGTTCCCTTCCCTCAATTTTAAAATATGTTAATCCTGAAGAAGTTTGAGTATCTCAAGTTATAATGCAACTACTAAAAATCTGAAGTGGTTGTGGCAATCCATTGATCACTTCTAAAATGAATGCAGCAGCAAGCGGTTTCTGAGTCAACATCTATGTAGGTGTCAGCCCCGCCATTACCTGACTGCGCACATCATCACTGTCTCGCTAATTAGTCTTTCTAAAGAGATGTCCACCTTCAAGCTGCAAAAGAAAGTCCAAAATATTAGACTATGAGCGCTTTGGGAAAAGATTCTTACCAATAAAATGGAATCAAAAATTACTAGAAGGTTGGTTTCTATCTTTTTATCTATATTTTCCCTTAAAAGAACTTACATACTAAAAAGGCTGAGTTACGATACAATTAACATGCGTGTTTATAATTTTTATTTTATATGCCTGAGTGTCTTGTCTGCATGTATGTGTTGTTTTTCCTTTGGCAGAGCCTGCACTCTAATCTACTGCTGCTGTTTAGCCAGTAACCGTGGCTCTGAAGTTACTGACCCGCTTCTCTGTCAATAGCCGGCCACTTGAGACTCAGCTTGGTGGGAATTCTGTTCTCACAGGTACCAGCTCTGTCGCTACTGCCAAATATAGCTTGTAATTAATTCTCTACCATTCTAGTTTTCAATAAGACTTGAGAGTCAGAGGCTGGGGTGAAAACCTGCTAGCTCAGAGAGTTTGGGTAGCAACTAGCTGACCATCTCTCTTTGCCCATGTCTCTGAAACAGTGTCCTTACCTCTGCCAAACCAAAAAAAAAAAAAAAAAAAACGTCACTAAAGCCCCTCCCTACTACTTCCTGTGTGTCTCTCTTATCTTCTAGATACCCTTTTAACTCTATATGATTATTTTCTGTCAACCAGTTGCTAACTCAATCTCCTAACTCAAAGTTGATTTTATTGCCGGGTGTTGGTGGCACATGCCTTTAATCCCAGCACTCGGGAAGCAGAGGCAAGTGGATCTCTGGGAGTTCAAGGCCAGCCTGGTCTCTAGAGCGAGTGCCAGGATAGGCTCCAAAGCAGAAACCCTGTCTCAAAAAACCAAAAAAAAAAAAAAAACGTTGATTTTATTTAATTAACACAAATGCAAACTCAAGTATGTATGTGGACCATGTGTGTGCCTATTGCCTGTAGAACCTAGATTCCCCTGGAATTGGAGTTACAGATGCTTGTGAGCCACTGTGTGGGTGCTGAGAACCAAACTTGGGCCCTTAACCACTCTGCCATCTCTCTAGCCCCACGAGTATATTTCTATATGAATTAGTTTAATTAGCAATTGATACTACATTAATTCAACTGTCAAAGGTGTGCTTTAGGAAAAAGAAGTGCCATGAAATTTAAATTCTAGTTAATTTTATGACTGATAACAGAGTAACTGGGAACTTTTTCCATAAATTGTGGAAGTGAATTTTTTTAGAAAATAATGGAGCCTATGGGCTGGGAATATGGCTCACTGGTACTCTGCTCCTAGCTGATACACTGGTACTAGCATGCTTTGAGGCCCTAAGTTCATTCAATTCCCCAGCCCTACAAACAATAGTGATGATGATGATGCCTGGAAAAAAAAGAGTAGTGAGGAACCCAGTTGTTTGACTCTCAGCATCTCCACCTATGAAATGAGGTTCCTTTAACAGTAAGGAGAGGAAGACCCTAGAAGAGCTACCTAAAAAGAGCTGAGTTGGTCTTTTTAAAAGGAACTATTGCCGGTGACCCTGATCAGGGCAGCTGTCATTTTCTGACAAGCACACTGCATATCACCTTAATAGTAAATATAGGTGACAGGACTAAATTACTTAATTTTCTCTTAGAAGAGCCTTGCTTGCATGGACATCTCCTTCAGGAGGGAGTCTGTGTGTGTGTGTGTGTGTGTGTGTGTGTGTGTGTGTGTGTGTGTGTGTGTGTGTTGTATATCACACATGTGTGTGAGTATACCGTGTGTATCACATATTTTTGTATCACTTGCTCGGAGGATGGGCTTTTTCAAGGTGACTTGGGATCTAGCCATTAGAAATCAAAATGAGGGAGATTACTGAAGGCTCCTGAGGTCTGTCCTTAGCACCCATCACTCCTATAACCATCATCTTGTGAGACCTATCTGCTCATGCACCCCACCCAAAGGTAGGCATTGCTTCAGAAGAGCTATTGAGGGACTGACCAGAGACCCTGTCATGCTGAGCATGCAGACAGTCCCACCATCTGGGCTCTACTCTGTTCTGCCCCAGGGTAGCAAGTCCCTTGCCTCCACAGATCTAGACATGGCTTCTAGCATTCCTAAGATTTCCCCACATCAGCTCTAGCAGCTGAAGAGATCAAAAAAAGTGAAAGCAAAACTACACATGGCTTTTAAATCATGTTTCAAAAATGTCTGGTTTTTACTGTGATGTCTGTGAGCCACAACAGTGATCAGCACTGAATGGTGTCCCTGAAAGTGTAATAATGACAGTTACGTATTGGTTGCAACTAGCAGCCCTTTAATCATATTTAAAGCCCACTTGACAGGAAGGAACTCATGCCTGCTGGTGTAAACCTAGTCAACTCCATGTGGCTAGTAAGGTCAGAGATCTCAGAGGAGACCTCACTACTGCCCGTTTCCTAAACCAGTTTAATGGCTAACTGCATTCTAAATGCTTATCCTTACACCCACCGGTAAATGTAGCTCCTCCCTTCATCAAAGAAACTTTTGTCTGCAGCAGACAGAGACCATTACAGAAAGCCACAACTGGTCAAACTGTGGTGGACAGCAGACTGTGGGGTCCCCAGCCCCATTGGATACATCTACAATGCAATCCTTATAGGCAAGGCTCAGGGTACAGCACAGAAGATGAAGTACAAAGACTGTTAGAACCGGAACAGGAAGTATGCTGTAAGATGATCTCCTACATCCATGAAATCTCAACAATCTGGTGTCTAAACCAGACCTGAACAATGACTCAGGCAGTTGACCTGCCAGTGAGGACTGGAGAAAACACCCCTGGGTGAAGGACTGGAGTCACTTACAAACTACTGAGGGAGGGAGATTTAACCTGGAGATGAATACCCTAAATGGTCAGCCGCCTCAAAAAATACACGGAGAGGCAATACTTAGTGGACTCTGCAGGTTGCATGTGAACAACAATAATTAAAATATGAGTGGCCATGAATTTGAAAGGGAAGGGGACCATGTGAGGAGTTAGAAGGAAAAGGCGGAGGGAGAAATGCTATAATGATATTTTAATTAAGTAAAATAATACTTTTTAGGGTTTCTGGTTTTATTTTTTAAAAATCCAAATAAATTTCCCATCATCCTATTCAGTGATGGTTAATATAAAGCGTTAGTTCAAGTAAACTAACAGTTAATTTGGTTGATACTCTAGGACACTACCTGTGACTGGTCAGTGGCTTCACAACCCCCAGCTTAATGGCTTGGCTGTATGGCCACCCAAATAGCACATTCAAAATGGGAGAAGCATGGATGCTTAGACAGTGACACCTAAATCTGAGCTTGATGGATGTCCCTCCTCATCCCATAGATCCTGGTGTTCTGAATTAATATCAAGGAAAGAGAAAGAGAAGAGGAAACCTGGGTGTGTCTGTAACACATTGTTGTTTGTACATGCACACGTGTACACAGGTGCACCCCATTACAGGTAGGATGTCCTCAGACTTCCCACCCACCCCACACACCACCCCCACACACACACAACAAGGTACTTTTTAGTTTTGTTTGTTTTGTAGTGGAACTCACTCTGTAGATCAGGCTGGCCTTGAACTTAGAGACCCACCTGCCTCTTCCTCCCAAGTGCTGGGGTTAAAGGCATGAGTCACTACCGCCACCAGTGAGCCAGGCAGGGTGTTTCACTGAGCCTGGGACAAGTTTTAGAACGGCTGGCCAGTGAGCTCCACAATCCACATCCCCTCCCTGCCCACAGGTCATACATAGCTCAGGTGTGCAGCCACACCAAGCTTTCATGTGAAGACTGGGAATCCCAACTGGGGTCCTGGGGCTTGTAGAGAAAACACACTAATCACTGAGCCATTTTCCCAGTCTTCAAAGTTACCCGGTTCAAAACAATGTTCTTGATTTTAATTTTCAAGTAATACAGATTAGCTTTGTCTCAATTAGTCCAACTTAGTGAGTGAGTGCAACAAGACGTCTTTTCTCACTGCCTACATTTTGCTCCTTCATCTCACTATGTATTTCTATATTTACTACATGAGACAGGGTCTCATGCAGTTTGGGCATCTTGCTTGGTAGCTAAGGTCCTCCAGCTTCTGCCTCCCAAGTGCTGGGATTACAGGTGAAGGGACTCTGGCCAGCTGGAGTATGGCTGACACAGATCTAGCAGGCCTTACCCTTCTCCCCAGTCCCTTTGCCTTGCTAGACTGTTAAGTTGCATTCCTAACCCTGAGGCTGACTGCTAAGGTACAGCAAAGTATTGAAGTCCAGCAATCAAAAGCCTCATTTGGCTACCCTAATTAACATGCCCAATCAAATTAAACACCTCATCCTAGCACAGGTTTTCCCCTTGTACCTTTATAAAGGAACATTTACCTCTGGGCCAAGTCTGTCTCCTCTCATACAGAGGCAGTCCTTTGTCCCTCCAGGACAAACACCCAGCCCCCCTCCTTCATTCCCTTCCCCTTCTTCCTCTTCCTCTGTCTCCTGTCTTTGTCCCCTATCCCTGCCCTCTGTCCTTCTGGGACAAATAAATCTCCCTTGTGGTAAGAACACAGTCTTAGGGGTCCTGAGCCAGTTTCGGTAGGTTCACGCCACCACACCTAACTTGTGTGATTTGTTTTAGCTATGTAGATTAATATTCACAATAAGAAAAATCTATTCCAAGTGCCCAGTTTATTACCTCATCTTTTCTCTTCCAGGTATACTCTTTCTTGGTTCGAAGACCAGTGTTGACTGATGTGCATAGGAAAAAAAAAAAAAAAAAAAAGAATTAGGAGTACTTTTGCTCTCTCCAAATGCAAGGGGGAAGTCTTCCCTTCCCCTTGCATTTCCAAACAGGCTGTTTTACTTTCTTCCCTTGGAGTTCTGTAATAAGCCCCTAAAGATCTAACACACAGGCTGGCAAGCAGGTCCCACAAACAAAGCAGGCTGTATGCAGGCAAGAGGGTACAGTGTGGACTGCATAGCAAGGCACCTGTTCCCACTCCACAAATCAGTCCCTCCCACTGACTGTTGCCATATATGAGAATGAGGGCTGCAGACTGGTAGGCCTCTTTTTTTTTTTTTTTTTTTTTTTAATGAAAACCTCAAAATCTACATTTGTAACCATGAAACTTCTATATATTTTTCCATGGCAACTCACTGAAATTTTTCAAAGCAAAACGTGTTTCAGGGTCCAAACTCAAGGAACTTGATCACGACCTGGCCTTAACCATTTGTGAGTTGTGTCTCGAGCCCACTGGACAATACTAATCTATGCCCCCCTTTGTCTAGTGTCTTTTCAGAGGGCCTGAGGTAAGCAAGGTCTCCTCTCAAAATAGCAGTTATTCTTAAATCGAGTGCTCTCGTGCTCGGTAACAACCAGAGTTAGAGGCTGACTCTGTATTCAAGCTGGGACAGGTGGGGTGGTGGTGGCACAGCGCCTACGAAGGCCAGGACCACGAGCACAGAATGGAGTCCTTGGGTATATTTCCCCCAGAACAAAGCCTTCCTGCCTACTCTTCTCTGTGTAATCAATGTTCTGCAACATGATTGAGAATTGTATCTATTGACTTCAGTTCCTTACTGAATTGTGTACTTCAAAGTGTAACTAGAGCAACTGGTGGACTTGTGGCTGTGACTACAGTTTGCAATACTCAGAGAAGGTGGGCCAGGTTTCATATTCCCTTCAGCTGCTGGGAACAGACCAGTTCCCCACCCTTGACCCCACTGTGGGAGTCTCTCCTCTCCCCATTTCAATAGTGCTGCAATAGTATTTTGTTGATCCACCCTACCAGGGCTTGTTGTTTGTTATCAAAGTATATGGAGGGAGGGACAGAGGAGAGGCAAGAGCCACATGGATTTTATCGTCTCTGATAGGTAACCTCCCAAAAGCAAAGTGGCAGCCAGTGTGGACCCTAGAGTGGGGACCACCTCCAATCACTTTTCAGAATGAAAAGAACTTTACATTTGTGGAAATGCTTCACAGTGGTTTTCTCACCACTAGAAGGCTATCATCCCTTACCAATGTCATGGGGTGCTTCATCATTTTTGACAGGCTCCGATGCCAGAATTATCAGAAGCTTGCTGACATCTGCAATTCCCTGGATCTAAAAGGCAAAAGAAATGACAATTAGTCAAAAGAACACACATTGATTCCCCAATGGCTGCTCCCCAATTTTCATTGTAAAGAATGCAAGAAACAAGTTAATATTTAGCACAAGGTCTCCAGCCTAAACCGTGTGTGTGTGTGTGTGTGTGTGTGTGTGTGTGTGTGTGTGTGTGTGTGTGTGTGTGTGTGT